GTGTGTTGGTTACCTTCTCCTTGCTGTGTGAACAACTTCAAGAAGGAATTCTTTCTTTCCATTCGTGGTTTCAGAGGTCTCTGTCTTTGTAGCAGGAAGAATACAACGGGGCAGATGAAGTTCACCCATGGTAGCCAAGAAACAGAGAGAATACCTGCTTGTGCTAGCAAAGGGTTAGATTTCTTCCTCTCCACCTTTTATTCCATTTGGTTCCACAGTCCACATTCAAGATAGGCAATCCCACCTTAGAACTTTGTGTGGGAACACCTCACAGCTACCCACCAAGTTGTCTCTTGAGTGATCTTCTAGCGGGTCCCAAGCCATTCACACTGACTGTCAAAATGAACCATTCATAGTTTTTTAAGTATTCACACTGATGATTCACTTTCAATGTGAAGGTAATGTTTACCCTTGGGAATTGGCTGCTGGTAATGACATTCTCTAGCTGAGAAAATGGAAGCCCAACCCCAACCGGCAGGTGAGCCCTTGGGTCTATGGCAGTGCCAACCATCTTGATTTGATGATGTGTTTTCCCATGTTCTCAAAGACCTGGGGACAGTTCCTGAAATTCATAAAATGCCTAGTAATTGTGGCTAGAAGGTTTGTTTTGCTTTGTTTTCCTGGTCCTGGGGCTTGATCCAGTCCTAATTTTTTCTTTTCTTTTTTTTTTTTTTAATTTCCTCATGGCTAGTGCTCTACTGCCTTAGCCACAGCTCTAGTTCTGGCTTTTGAGTAATTAATTAGTGATAAGAGTCTCATGGACTTTCCTGCCTAGGCTGGCTTCTAATCGTGATCCTTGGATCTCAGCTTCCTGAGCAGCTAGGTTTATAGGCATAAGCCACCAGCAACCTAGCAAAGTTGTTTTTGTTTGATAATGGCTTTGGAGGGTTCTCTGGCCAGAGTTTTTAATCCATTCTGCATTCAATGAGGCAGGTTAATTTAGTATTTTTTGCTGTAAGAGCGCTTGAATTTCCAAAGATTAATTTCCCTTTTTTTCTTTGAATGTTTAAATCACAGGTGCAACTGCCAAAAGAACTGGCGTAGGCAGGAGCAGAATCATCCTGAAGAACAAGAAGGCAAACAGTGACACTGGGGTTAGGGGTTGGAGGCTACCAACAGAAGCGCTTCTGGAAACAGGTGGCAGACCTCGGAACAGTCTCACATCTGAGATGGGTATTTGTGAACGATGGGCCTTGACAAATACACGGGGAAGAGGAAGGAGATAAAATATTCATTTTCATGGGCAATATCTTTTTTCTATTCCTGTCAGATTGAGGGATGGGTGACATTTATTTAGAGTTAAGCTTCCAGAAGAAGAGAAACAAAATTTTAAAGCATTTACTATTGCTTTCTTCTGGTAAATGACAATAAATGCAGCAGCACTGTAATCACTGATTGTATTCTTTCTCTCTCTCTCTCTCTCTCTTTTCCTTTCATTTCTGTTGTAATTCTTCACACAGTATTTTAAAGGGAGTAAATCATGTTGTAGCCTATGGACATGTGAAGAGTTAACTGAGCTCCTGGGCCTTGCAAGGCTTTGAGATGAACTTTTCTTTGAAGAATGAGTAGAGATGTTCATTCGAACTCTGCCTCCTTTGGCAACTTCCTTGAGGTTTGGGGAGTAGTCTTATAATTAGGGATCTCTAAGATGAACAGAGAACTTAAGACAGAGGCCACAGAAAAACCCAAGTGTCAACAAAAAAATGTAATGAGAAAAAGTAAGCCCTTCCTATATCTTCCAAACTTCTGGCAGTGTTTCCATACATGAGGACGATGGAAGACAGCATGCTGTTTTGCAGGGTAAACATAGCAGAATAAATAATAAGTTATTAAAAAGTTGTGTTATATCTATACACAGTTATATGCACTTGCATGTGTACATATACTTACATGTATATTTATTGAGTTTATAAATCCGTGAGTCTAATACAAGCTCCTTGTTCTCAAAAACCTCTACAGGAAGCTGTTCTACAGGATTGAACTCTGTATCTCTACCTTCAGGGCACCCTATTGCCTGGTGTGAATCTGGTATGAATTGCCAGTGTATGAAACAAGTCTTAGCCCCCACAAGTCCTGTGTACCCTCAATAACATATCCCTCTGCATACCTCAAGCCTCTGCTCTCCTTCACAGAACACCTCCAAAACACTCTCCTCTTACCCTCCATTTATGAAGGTCTCCAAACCCTTTCTGACAGTTCCCAGCCATACTCTTTCCTTCTAAAGTTCCAGAGCTCTTAGTTATACATTGTAGTCACTAGGTGCATAGTACTTGAGATATTGGATAAAACCTCAAAAAAAGTTCATCACTTTTTGAAGCAATGTGAACCTAGGAATTACTGTATCTTATTATAGCACCTTCTTTCTTCTTTACCTGAGTGAATAAAACATGTTTGCCTTCTTTCCTCTTTTAGAGAATCTCAGTGATAGAGCAGGCAAAGCAGGCTGAGAGAAAAGGACTCTCACGAGCACAAACTTAAAGCAGTACATTATTTACAGGAATAAGCTTTAAGAAAGACTCTGTTTCTGTTTCTCTAGGATAATTTAGTACGAGTAGCCAGAAGAAAGTAGTTATGGTTTTCAGTCAAGTCAATAATTTAAAAATAGCTAACTGATATTTTTGTATTCTTTCTTTTTCTTTTTTTTTTTTTTCTGCCAGTCCTGGGGCTTGAAGCTCAGGTATGCTATCCCTGAGCTTCTCTTGAATAAGGCTAGTGATCTACCACTTGAGCCACAGCACCACTTCCAGCTTTTTCTGAGTTCTTTATTGGAGTAAGAGGCACATAGACTTTCCTGCTATGGCTGGCTTTGAACTCAGATCTTAGGCTTCTGAGTAGCTAGGATTACAGGCACAAGCCACCAGCACCTGACTTGTTTTCTTCTTCTTCATTATTTCTAGAAAACGTTCTTGCATAGAAATGGGATTGTTAGTTGAGATCAGGCTACAAGAAATAACACTTTAAAATTATTTAGCCATTCCTACATGTAAGAGGCTGTATTCTCACAGCGCATTGCACTGTACGTATTAGTACTTGGTTTTCTGGAAAGCCCTATGCATTTGCCTGGCTGGCCACAGCATTCATTAAGTAAGGAATTGCTCAATGTTCTAATAGTCCTGAAAGAGGATTCAGATGCTAAGCTGAAAGAAAGAAAGGATCCACTTTCAGAGGTTATTGTGAAGGTTTAAGCTAGAGAGGGCCTGTGATTTACAGTGTCCTTCCTATCTGCTATACCCACGCTAAAAACCTTAGTGGAAGATTTTAACCTATTTTTCAAATGTACTGTCAATTTACAACTTATATGCCATTGTTGTTCTCTTTTCAGAATTGGCCACTAGAAATGATATCTTTTTTTAAAAAATAAGTTCAACCTGTCGCTTTCTTCAAAGTTATGATATTTGGTCAGAATATCATATAGAAAACAGGAGGGGCTAAAATGTGTTTAAAAAAAAAAAAGATCCCAATTTTCTACTGCCTTAAAATTGTTAATAAAGGATGAAGGCTTTATTATAGAAGACTTGAAACACAAGCTAAGTGTGTGTGCTGATCACTGTGTAGCCAGTGTTTAGGACACTCACTAAGTTTCTCAGATATTTCTACAGATGTGTAGCAAATAAACTCTCACCCATAATACCTTTGATTAACAAGACTTGTAACCTTACGTCTTTGCCCACTTGACAAATTTTATTGTCCATGTTTATTCTCCATTTTCTAGTCCATGTAGGATGCCATGGTAAGAGCACTATGCTAAAAATGAAAGCTGCAGGTTGGTTGAGAAAATGTACAAAAAATAAGAACTGATAAATCCTGTTGCTTTTCTCCTAGGTAATACAGTTTCTTTAGTAATTACCACCAATCGAAATGCTTCTACTTCACCCAAGTGGCAAGCAAGCATATTTAACCTACTTCTAAACACATAGGGAAATAAAGGGATATAAGTAATAAAAATAAACCCACACTTTCTTAATTTTAATATCTACGAAAGTATATAATTCTAACAATTGCTACAAAAATTTTTGACCTGTAGAAGAATTTGCCCCTCCCTTGTAAATCATGACGGGTTTGAACTTAGGGCCTCATGCTTGGCAGTAAGTACTCTACCATAAGAGCCACACCCCAAGCCCTTTTAGTTTGTTTTTCAGATAGGTTTTTGTGCTTTTGTTCACAGGCTGGCCTTGGACTGTGATTTTCCTAGCTCTGTGTAGGTGGGACTATAGCTGTACGTCACCATGCTTTTGGTTTATATATTATATACCAATAAAAAGAAGATACACAACCATTTCTTTCTAAATGTACTAGCTAAAGAATGAAACGCACAAAAAAACAAAAACCCACTATCGAGGCTGGGAAGGTGGCTCAGTGGTGGAGCGCTTGCCTTGCATGCCTGAGGCTCTGGGTTCGATTCCTCAGCACCACATAATCAAAAAGAAAAAAGCTGGAAGTGGTTCTGTGGCTCAAGTGGTAGAGTGCTAGCCTTGAGCTGAAGAGCTGAGGGACAGTGCCCAGGCCCAGAGTTCAGGCCCCATGACCGGACCCAAAAAAAAACAAAAAAACAAAACAAAAAAATCCATCATCTTAGACACCTTTTTTGTTTCACTATAGCAACAACAAAAAAATATAAGATGAACTGAATTTTGGTTTCATTTATTTTTTTGTTTCTTAACAAATCAAGAATGCAGATCACATAACTATAACCTTTAAGAAAGAGGACATTAATGTTGCAACAAACCTGCTGGTGAACGCATATTACTAGCATTTCAAAAATTTACAAAAATTTAACAAAATATCTTCCTAGACAGCTGTCTTCATATTTGTAAACAAAGTATAAACAACTGGCATATCCAGTTCCTCAAACAGGCGGTACAGTGATAGAGATCTTATCTTTGATTTTAAAAGAATAACAACAGAATCTATACTAATTTTTAATCCCACATATTACACAGTCCTGGGAATTGTGGACAGGATGCAGGAGAGGATTAGAAAGAGGCCAACACATGACATCATAAGCTTCATACTTCAGCATTTACTCATATTGCTCGGATGGTTTACAATGACGTTTTTCCCCCCCAGGGGAGAACAATATGGTTGCTATAGAATCCATTATTCTCTTTCAAAAACACACTGGAAACTTCAGGCACAAGGGGAGGCTGGTTTCCTTTCAGTTTCTGAGGCCTTTTTTCTATATCATCAGATGTTAATAGTTGGGCCTGTACATGCGTGCTGCCTTAGATAGTTGGGTGGTAAAACGTGCACCTCCTACTTCAAAACACACAGGAAAAGTAGGTGTGGGTAAGGGCAGACTGCAACTCAATTTCTCCTGCAGCCCTATTGCCTGGTAAACTACATTTATTCCTTTACTTTGCTAATATAGTCAGTGATCTTGTTGATGCTTTCTTCCTGCTGTTCTAAGGCATCCAAGATAATGCCCATGGGTGTCCTCTTCAAACCGATTCCTTCCATTTTATTCTCCAGCTTGTTTTTGAGGTTCCGGAGTCTCAGGGATGCATGGATGAACATCACTGTGAAGAAGAGACCCACAGTTCGTGTTAAAACAGAAACTCACTTTTGCCATATCAACACTCTTCTCCCTTCCTTTCTTTGCTTCTCTCATTGACCCGTCTTCACCCGGTCGCTTGGACTTTACATACAGCTGAAGATCAGGTCACACACAGAGATCTTTGTGTGCAGAGGAAAGCATGGCATCTAGCTGGCACAGCCATAAACTTGGCAGCCACGTTCTTTCCTTCGCACACTGCAGATGCTCCTTAAATGTTATGACATCCACCGTGAACCAGTGGGATTCCAACCTAAATAGTAATCCTCTTACCCAAGGTTTTCTGAAAAGGAACGCTTGCTTAAGTCAGAGATTATCTGTATTTTGCTCCTTGCAGAAGGCATGCAAGTAAGTTTACTTTTTTAATGTTTTTTTTTTGTAAAAATACTGTATAGAGTGGTTACAGTTACATGAGCAAGGTAATGAGTACATTTCCTATCAAGTATTGTTAAGTATCTTTGAGGAGGCAGTTTTCCAAAATGTTGATCATTTGGAATTGCCCAATTTGTTCATTAAGAAACATATTTCTAGGCCCCTCTCCTGGATTTCCTGACCCAGAACCTTCAAGGGACAGGCCTGGATGCTGGGACAGTGGTTTAAGCCTGGAGTCCTAGCTGATTGAAAGGTAGGGATTGGGAGATCATGATTCAAGGCCAGTCTGAGCTTGAAAGTTGGCAGTACTCCATGTCAACCAATAGTTGGATGTGGTGATGCACACCTGTCGTCCCAAGCTATTGGAGAAGCACAATAGCTGGGCCCTGTGGCACACACTTGTCATTTCAGTGACAAAGGGAAGCACAAATAGGAATATCACAGTCCAGACTGGTCCCAAACATAAAAGTGAGACTCTATCTCAAATAAGAAAAAAAGACCTGGTAGAGTGCCTGCTTAGCAAGCATGAAACCCTTGTTAAGTTCGAAATTCTCTGCCCACCTCCCAAAAAAAGAAGGAAGAAGCATGGTTCTGGGAATCTGTGCTGGTTTAAACGAGACCCTCTGATCTACACCAATGGTTGTCCAATTCTCATGGACCTGATGAGCTTATTAAATATGCAAATTCCCATTCTCCACTAGCTTAAATTGAGGCTGAGACTGAGGCAGGGTTTTAGGTGCTATCACTTAAATAAGCACTTAGGATGATTCTGATGCAGGTTGATTTTTGGATCCTTGTTTTGAAAATTACTCATGCGGTTCCTATCTGGAGGTTCCCTGTCCACACTGGCCCTCAGTAACTCGAGGAGCTTTCTAAACCTATAGGTCCTTTGGGTTACCAGTATTGAGCCACAGAATCCAGATGTATAAGAGAGGTGGCTGACAAATTTATATTTTTAGAAAGGCATCCTGGAGGAGTCTCATATGGATCAAATTTTGAGAAGCACTGATCTTGTCTATAATCTCCATATTTTATAGCCTTTTTAGGATGACTGGCCCAAGGCATGCTAATCTCCAGAAAAATCTAGGACAGAAATCATGACTCTTGCCCATCTGTCACTTCATCACCCTGATCTGTTGATGACTCTTATGTGGAAGGTACTAACGTTAATACAAGGTGTGTTTAAACAGATATTGAAACTTTTTGAAGACCATTTCAAAAACTCTGAATGTGCAGGTTCAAATATTTTGCACAACAAGGTGTAGGATTTTTCTGCGAATATGCTAGGCTTAATCTGACAAAAATCCCAAGTAGCAAATGTCTATTTAGTACAGTAAATGCACAGGTAAAATGCTATTTTAAGTAAAAAGGATGTTCCCATCATGCGATACAATAGAATTTGAATAAGATGAGACTGGAATTTTACCTCTCCTCTATTTCAGGCCAAGTGTTTGGGTTCTTGGTAAATAAGGCACATGCAGCTGAGAAAAATGTTCAGTTCACTAGAATCAGTATTTGGCAAGTGCACGCTGGGACAATGATTCTCACAGACTTGGCTGTCTTTGAGCACTAATTATGCTCTTCTGAAGTAGGTAAATGACAAATATTTTCAGTCCTGTGTCAGTACAGTAAGAGTGACATTTACAGATTGGGAAATGATTCTAGAATCAGAACAATTTGGAATCTAAGACAGCCGATCCCAGTTCCAGTCATATGATTTGTGTATTGTTGATTTCCTGTGTCTTTGTGTTGTTTTGTTTGTTTGCTTTCTGTAGCAAGTACCCAGACATGTGTGTGGAATTAATACACTATTAGGCCTTGGTCTGTTGTTTTAGAAAGTTGACACAAACAGTAGTAGACATCTCATTGCCCATAACAGACAGATTAATTCGATTCCCATAGGAAAGTTGTGCCTACATTTTTCTTAGTGATGTAAGACAAAAGATCACTTACACAACAAAGGAAAAGTGATGCCAAACACGAAGACCATGACTCCCCCAAACATGGAGATGAGGAAGTAGCTAGCCAACATGACCGCCATCACGAACGTCATGGGGTACTGCTTCTTCATTCGGCGGAGGATGTCTTTATTGTGGGCTGCCCACACAAACCCTGTGAACACCAGCACCACCACAATTCCTCCAAGAATCATGTTGAAGGGGCTCAGAAACCTGGGGTATGAGAAAGACAGAGAGACTGGCTCATCAGTAGGAGCTGCAGGAGGGGAAAGAAGAGGAGTCAACACAACGATTAAGTACTAAACATTTTAGTTTAAGTACTAAACTGGAACGTGAACTCTTCATAACTTTAGGAAACACATTTCTCAAATGAAGAAACTTAGGAAAATGGTGGAGATTAGAAATGGTGGAGGTAAGACCACACCCAAGCAGAGTGACCCCTACCCAAGGGGCCAATCTGTTTCATAGAGACTACCTCCTATGTGCTCATAGTCCCGGGCTCTGGCACATGGTAGGTTGTACTGTGATCCTCATTGAAGTTGTCATCATAGTTAAATATAATCCTAAGTTGCAAAAGTTGAGATGCTTTTCACCCATTGCAAGTACCCAGGCTGTTGGAGAAGCTGTTCCTTCTCCAGCTTCTTCAACTCAGCCCTGGCTCCCTGTTCATTCTGAGGGTCTGTCTTGATCATTTCCCCCTCCAAGCTCTGTTCAACACCCAGCTCTTCTATCTGTCTGCCCTCCCTCCCTCTCTCCCTCTCAGTTCTATAGTACCTGGGTCTGCTTAGACTGTGTGTGTGTGTGTGTGTGTGTGTGTGTGTGTGTGTGTGTGTGTGTGTGTGTGTGTGTGTGTGTGTGTGTGTGTGTGTGTGTGTGTGTGTGTGTGTGTACACACATGCTAGTCCTGGGACTTAAACTGAGGGTCTAGACAACAGTTCCTGAACTATATTGCTCAAGGCTAGTGCGCTATACTGGAGCTTTGGCTCCTCCTCCAGCTTTTTGGTGGTTAATTGGAGATAAGACTTTCCTGCTCAGGCTGGCTTTGAACCTCATCCTCAGATCTCAACCTCCTGAGTAGCTAGGATTTAGGTGGGCCAGGCTGCTTGGCTAATTTTTGCATTTTATTTTGTTAGTTTGTTTTACTTTGTCTCCTGAAAAAACCTTGCAATCTATCTAGGCAAGACAACATTTCCTTACAGACCTAAAAAAGGGCAGAAGCAAGAGGAGATAAACAATCCCCTTTAGCAGATGGTAGCAAGACCAACAGAGGCCCAGAAACTCCCCAAGCAGTATACCTCATTCTTAGTACTAAAGAAAAGATTCCCAGAGAAATTAGACTGAACGATCAAGCAGTTATACTGGCTAGGCGCATTACAGGAAATTTACTCTCATTTGTTTTATTTCTGTTCTCATATTTCCCCCATGTCCATGCGTTACTTGAACAAGTAACTTGAATAAAAGTACCTGATATTTTTAAATGATGAAAGACAGACTTGCCTTCCATGTACAACTCCCCCAAACATTTCTGAGCTGTGAAGCAAAGCACAAATGAAGATTCACACACAGAGAACCGGAATGGGGGATTAACATTTAAGAGCATGCCTGTGTATAAACTGCAAATCGGAGACAGTCGGTTGGTAGCAAAGCATCAAAGCGATCTTGCTCAGTTCTTTCTAGAATACTAATTTAGGAAGCATGTAATAAAATTCATGTCAAGTCTTTTCTGTTTTTCACTGGACAATACAGCAGACATCTAAATTGAATGTCTAAATAAAGTTCAGCCTAAAGAACAACAACAAAAAAATCTAGGCCTAACTCCAGCAGTTCCAAATGTGCTTTCCACCTGTTCCTGCTGCTCATGTTCAGAGCAAAAGAACAGAACAAGGACTCCTATAGAACTGGTTTTGGATTACAACAAGCCCAACCACAAGCTATAATTAGAAAGGAGCCACGTTTCCAAGATGGAAAAAAAAAACTAACAAGTGTTACCAGGGGAGAAAATTTTCTTCCATGTTTTGGTTAAATGTAGTTTCCTTCTGAGAAATGGTAAATAAATGCACCCCACCCCCCCAATGCCCTAGTACTCACTTGAACTTGGAGTAAACTGATACACACATGCACACAAACAGAATTGATTTCATTTTCCAGTGAGTGAGGGAATTTGGGAATCAGTTCTTGTTTAAGATGCTTTTAGCCAGCAGTTGGGTTATTAGTGATCCTAGGCAAAACAACCTCATACTTTTTGGAATGAAGTTTCCATAAGTCAGACACTGAATGTGAGAAACTCTACTGATAGTCCATGAATAAGAAAAAGGAAAGGAAGCGAGAAATGATAGAAGAATCTTGACAACAGAGGGAAAATGGGAGAGAAGAGAAACATTTGATTTTCTGTTCTTGGTGGGTATATGACCTTGTTATGTGAGAAGGTGTTTTCTATTGTGAGAGGAATCAACATACAAATAAAATACATCCGTCCAATAAAAAAAATTCCTAACCCCTGTTCTGTAATAGATAATGGTTTTAACGGAGCTATTCACAGTTGGTAAAGATTTATCATTCCATCCCAAACTTTTGTAGCTGCCTTAAACAATGAGTCAATATAGTCCCATTACACAAGTGAAAGACCAAGGCCCAGAGAATTGAAAAAACATAATCCAAAGAATCTAGGGTAGAAAATAGAAAAAAGAAAGGCAAGGAAGAGGTGTCAGCTGTAACAGGGATTCTGGATTCTCTTTATAATCTATGTGTTAAAAAGCTTCAGGGATTTTCCTCTACCATTCAGTATTACCTTTTCCAGCCTGAGTAAGCAATTTGGGAACCAGGGGTCACCATGGGAAAGCCTCAGTACCTGACCACAGGTGGGAAGGGGGCTTGGGGGGGTGTGGCTTAGGGGTAGAGCACTTGGCTAGGTTGTGAGAGGCCCTGAGTTCCATCCCCAGCAACTACCCAAAGGGAATGCAATTACAAGGACAGATGGCAAATGGGGGTGTGGACACATGTCCCAAACTCGCCAGCATGATTCAGCTGCAGCATCGTAGGGGAAAGCATTAAGGGACTTTAAAGGCTACCTCATTTTACATCCAAGCAAGCTAAGCAATGAACAAGTCGGTAAGTTCGTCCAGGGCCACCAACTGCAGAGGTTGGCAATAAAATCTACCAAAGCCGCAATCTTCTGATCACCTCCAGAGCATGTCTGGTAACTTTCTTTGTGCCAACAGGAACCTGAGAGGTTCAGAAATGACCCCCTAAGCAGAAGCAACTTTGCACTGAGTTCTACTTTTCCAACCCCAAAAGCTATTTTTGAAGTGTGGTTCCTAAGCAAGTCTGACTCACCGGGAGGAAAGGAGGTGGATGTGGGAGCAGGCAGCATATTTACTGACGCTGCAGTTCTCTAAATGGGTGAGGTTTCTCTGCAGGTCCTTCAGCAGCCAGAGAGCTCACTGCACTCATGAACACACCCATCCAACTTTCTTGCTACCCCTTGCCCTGCTCTTAGAATTAAGATGGAATTCTTCATCGATCCTACAAGCCCTGCCTGCCTCGGTAGCACCTTTTTAGTGTTGAGAAGCAAAAGAGGCTGACTTGTGGGGTGAGGCCTGAAATCCAGGCCACATTCCCCTTACCAGGCCTGACACATGACCTAGACTGCATGTGCGTTGTTCATTGGTATGGGGATGCTTGAAGGGCTAACAAGAGCTCTCCTTGCCACCTTCTGATTCTGTGCTTGCACCTGGGGGTTCCTATTGCTCTCCAGAGTTCGCCTAGACTCAAGACTAACAGCAGGCTTGTGCACAAGCTGTGCTTTCTGCCTGATTCATTCCACCCTCCCTCCCATCTCAGCCAGCCTTTTCTCAGCCTATCTGAAGAGAGCACAGCACCATATGCATGTTCTATAGAGCAAATCCCTCACTGTTTATTTGCATAAATGTTGCATAAATCTCTAGAGCTAGTCCCTATTACACATGAAGCTTCCATAAGAACACAAACCATGACTTTTTTTTTAAACTTGGGATTTGGGTCCCTAAGCTCTTTGTTTGTTTGTTTGCTCAAGCCTAGTGCTCTACCACTCAGCTCTGCTTCTGGCTAATATTTTTCAGGTGCTGTTTTGGAGATGAGTCTCATGGACTGTTCTCCCCAGCTGGCTTGAAACCACAATCTTCAGATCTCAGCTTCCTGAGTAGTTAGGATTATAGTAGTGAGCCAATGGTGCCCAGCCATGACACTTTTTCAACCCTCGCATTAAGCACAATGCCAGACACAGAGTGGGTCTTCAATATAAGTATGTATAGTTGGGGCGGGGAGGGGAGGGGAAGGTAAGAAGCTAGCATAAGTTCAGCAAATTCCCATAGCTATAAATTATGGCACGTGAGTTTGTCTGGGACCACCACTATTATTCTCATTATACTAAACAGAGCTTGAGAAATACTTCCTGTCCTGGTTCCTTCAGAGTTTGTGATTAAGGGGACAAATGAAGACTCATATGTAAATATAGGAGGCAATTCTGAAGAAAATATAGGAGGCAATTCTGAAGAACCGATTGGCTGAGACAGAAGAGGCATTTGTTGGCTGGCTGGGAGAAGGAGCCTTTGTATGCTTTGTCATTAGCATATGCTGGCAGATGGGAGGCTCAGTGGGGAGGGGAGGGAGAAGGACTATGAACAGCAGACCTGTCCTTGATGGGAACCAAAAATTGATTACTCCGAAGATGACAAGAGTCTTCTGTGGTTATTTTCGTTTCTCAAACATGGCAAGAGCGATGTCTGATTATTAACAATAAATGTAGGCCGAGGACCCAAATTAGGCTTGAGTAAATGTGGCCATTGTCTCAGTCACAAAGTAAAGCAATCCTCAAGAAATTAAGATGGGGGCCGAAGCCTTCTCTTTTGTCCCTGAGGGGGCAAAGTACCCTCCTAGTCTTAAAATGACCCAATCCAGCTGAATTAGAAAGGCTCACAGGATTTCCCTCATGCTTATCAGGTGTTAAATATTTATTGCATCGGTGTACTTTGTACCTTCACAGTAAGCACTTTCAAATGGACTACTGTTTCCCAAGCAACTCACATTTAAATGTACTCCTAGCAAAACATCCATCCCTTAGGGGCTTCCAAGTGCTGTTTCACAGTCCTCCAGCCAACTGTTTATTTAGAATTAATGTTTTATTTTTGATACTTTGAAACAAATAGCTCAAGCGGGCCTTGAACTCCTTCTTGGTC